TTGGGTTATTACAGACATCTGGTGAAAATTTCATATCATTAGCACCTCTAGTAATATATTTACTGAGAAAAATGGTGACATGTTTAATACTTATTTTACCCGCTGTACTTAATTCTAAATGACTGAATCCTACAGAACTCATTTCACTATATTTAATCTGGTTTCAGTCAGCAGTTTGCTGCAAAACCTATCTCAAGACACTATAAAGTTGTGTTCCTATATTAAAACCAAATCAAAAAATAATATTCTTAGATTCTCACTTACAACACTGAAGGAGGAAGTGAAAGTGTTTGCATAAATCTCCCTCTAATGTTTGCAATGTCCTTAAACAGTTGTGTGTAAAATATGAATGTCTTGTGTTTTTAAGTGTTGCTCACAAACCCATGTTATTAATTTCAGTTCAGTTTTTTCGTTAAACTCTTAAAATGTCAGTAATATGGGTTGTCAAAAATGTTCTTTTTGAAGTGTTATAGCAACTTTGAGAGTGTGGTTGAGCAGCAGTGGCTGATGGGTAGTCTCCGGATAAAAATAACAGGGCTTCTGCTGTGTGCTGAGATAGGCTGTTTTTGTTCCCTTCAGTTTTGGTCTAGTCTGCCATTGTTAACTGTAAAACTGACACCATAAGTCACATACTGTATAAAAAGTGGAAAACACTTCATGATCGCAGATAAAATTTGTTTTTCAGAGTTTTATCTTCATAAAATACTGATTTAATGTTGTTTTATTAATCCCAAGAGTTTAGTAAAAGGTTTTTCAAATGGCTGGAAAATGTACAGTTTTGATAGATCTTTAATCTTCTGAATAGATTTTTACAAAGTTTTCCAGGGGGTATATCTCTAAACCCTCTTAAAACTGCTTCACTCGACAGCTGCTTGTTAACACGAACAGSTGTTCCTCATTGATGTCAGCAGATGTTGACAGGTATGAGGTAGACTTCTGCTATTCTGTTTCAAATTAGTTATATTTTTAACTATTTTAATAGGACAACCTGGTTTCTACAGATAAAAAAATAATAACATGAAAGACAAAACTATTTAAATTGGTATATGAATAAACTGGCAGTGAGATTTAGAGAACTACACAGGAGGTGCCACCTGAAATCTTGCCTAGGGCACCAAATTGTCTGGGGCCGGCCCTGGAAACAGGAAATGAGTGTGATGTGAGCAGGGATTGACTGCATTTTGTTTTCACCATCATTAATAACACCTAGCAACTTGCTGCAATTGCCTATAAATTGTGATTTAATTCACCAATGAGGAGAAGCAAGAGTTAACATTATTAGCTAAAATCATAAAAAATATGTAGGGTAGTTATTTGAAACAATCAAATTAGAAAATGTCTTTTCTTCTCCATCACTGAGACATAAAAATAGCTATTTATAGTATCTGTTTTAGTATATGTAATGAGTAAGATTGACATATGC